TATATATATATATATACACATCTTGATCCAATCATCAGTCGAGGGACACTTGGGTTGCTTCCACTTCTTGGCTGTAGTGAATAATGCTGCAGTGAACACAGGGGTGCATAAGCTTCTTTCGATTGTTGATTTCGGATTCATTGGATAGATTCCCAGTAATGGGATAGTTGGATCATAGGGTATTTCTGTTTTTAATTTTTTGAGGAATCTCCATACTGTTTTCCATGGAGGCTGTGTAGTGCAATATTTTAAATAGAGGTATGAATTTACATTTATTTTTCCCCTCTGAGGCAGGTACACAAAAGAACAATGGCTTATGTTCAGTTTTACCAAGAATGTAGTGATTTAAAGCCTTGTTTTGGGAAGTGGATTCTTGAAAAAATGGATGGCGCGAGTATGTTATACTTTGACTCTTTGCCCACGTTCACAGTCTTCCTGAAGAACTCAGCAGTTGAGTCAGAATTCCCAACTTTAATTGTGCATTCTACATCAGCTTCTGAAATCAGGTCCTGATTCTGTCCTGTGCTTCGTTCCTTCACTCACCAGTCCTTCTTATACTTGAAAGGGATTTAGTTCACAGGCTTTTAGTTCAATCTATTTTAGATCAAAACTCTATTTTTGGTGTTCTGCTTGAAGAGAACTCATGCCAACATGTGAGAATACAACCTCCCTACATGCTTATAGTGTGATACTAGCCGAAAGACTGTTCTAGCTGTTTCTCATCTCTGACGAGTCCTTCTCAGACTTGAGTGTTAGAGAAAGTAGATAGCTGGGATTAAATTGTATCACTACCTTAATCGTGGGAACCCAGAAACATTGTTTCATTCCGGACTTTTTAAGACGAGAAGTAAAACAGTTTTGGTCTCCCTTCCTCTCCCCTCCCCCACTCCCCTTTAAAGTTACTGTTTTTGGAGGTGCCTGTCATTTGCTGGGCCATTTCTCATCGAAGCGTGACAACAACCTTGTGAGTTGATATTTTTGTCACAATTTTACAGATGGTTAAACTGAAGCTTGAAAAGAAACTGAAGCTTGGAGAGCTAATAAGAGGCTGCGTCATGATTTGAATTGTTGTCTTTTTAATATCTGTACAAGATTAATGTCCTACGCTATTGAAATAAACTGAATACATATGTGATATTTAAAAAATTGAATTACCTCATTGACTAATTGTTACAGACCGCTATAGCCTGATATTTCAGGTAGAATTATTTAACTTGACCAATTTTCAGAGTAGATAAAATCAGAAGTTAAATAGCTGTATAAATAAAGTATATAGTTGTAACTTTATTTTTTTAAATTCGTTTTAAGCAGTAATTATAAGGTTTAAGTTTTATATATTTGTATATTAATCGTTTTCTATTGGCCCTGTGGGGGAAAAAAAATTTTTTTTTGGTTTGCCTTGTAATTTTTTTTTTCACTTTTTTAAAAAAATTTTTATTTATTGCAGTAACATTGGTTTATAACATTGTATAAATTTCAGGTGTACATCATTATACTTCTATTTCTGCATAGATTAC